GCTCGTCGTCCAGTCCGGAATTTTCTTGTAACTCACGGTGGAGTACGCGCAGGGTTTGTGATCATCCCTGTTCACTTCAATATTATCAAACACAACGTTCCCTTTGTCACTCATCTTATCCTGAGTACTGAATTTGCTGACAATATTGCACCACCGTGACTTGTCACAACCTACCGCCACTGCTGGCGGTGGCGACTGGTTCGTCAATGGCGGTGACCAGGCTGACTGACTAGCTTCGAGACAGCGGCCTCGTTGTCAACCCCGCGGCAGCCTAAAGGTTGATTTTATCGATCCAGCCTCAGCGCCATGTTGACGATGCCCTAGTGACTGTGTGTCATGGATTGCCTTGCCATCAGCGGTCATTGCCGTCCACCTTGATGCAGCCCTCAACAACTGGCTCAGCCCATGGGAGTCTCAAGTGGACAAAGTTGTTGCCAAAGTAGCTCAGAAGATTGGTGCATCGTGGTGTAGGTGAGCACATAACTAGGACTTCCCAGCGCCTATTTGTCCAGGCTGCGATACTATGTGACATGCTGTACTGCACATTCTTTTCAGCACTGCAAGGCTGGCAGCTGGACCGACTGCAGGGGCCGCGCACATGCAGGCCGCCTGTTGCCAGTGCAGCATTCTGGAACGTTCCTTCCTTCTGAGATCCGTGGAATAACGTTATTAACTTTCTTTGCTTCAAAGCAAGTTGCTTACCTTTCTGTTGTGCTCCCAGTGTCCTTACAACAATAACCTACAGCAATGTTTTATTTTCCTTTCCATTACCCAACCAATGAATACTATGATGTCGATTCTATTTCTTCATGACTTTGGTGTGTGCCCGCGCACGCGCACGCACGTGTGTGTGTGTATACCTCACTCGCCACTCGAAGTTCTGTTCCCCATCACTGGAACACTGCCTGTTCTTTCAGGACCTGCCATCATCTGCAGGTGGGCATTCAATGATTGTATTGTGTGTGTGTTTCATTCAGAATCAGATCCGCTATCGTTGCTATAAGAGAAAATCTGTGGGTTCACATCCAGTGCATTTTTAGATTTGCGTGCTTTTCTCGCCACGGGCGCATACATGGGACATTGTGTGTGTGTGTGTGTGTGTGTGTGTGTGTGCGTCTGTGTGTACGGGGATATTGTCTGTATCGGCTTTTGGTACTAATGTTCAGGTCTGTGCTTGCATGTGTGAACATGAAATTGTCCGGTTCTGTGCATGCTATTGCTATGTTGTATATTATTGTATGTATGTGTGCATTTCCACGAACAGTGTAGACGAGCGTGGAGAGTGCATTCATCCCTCATCAACCACTTCCCCTTGGGCTTACGAGAGTTTTTTCCGCGTACCTCTCATTTTTGTTTGTTTCTCTCTGATACTGTATTGATGCCGGTACCTGTACCTCGATGTGTTCCTCTATCTGCAGTCGCCTTTAACCTTCGGTCAAGTTAACGTTTATTGTGCTCTAGTTATCGTGCGAATCAAAATGAACAATAATAACACAAGTCGTGCTAGAGTGACGACATGTGCGTGTAGTAGGGTTGATGCGATGGGACGTTATAATTAGGTGGAACAGAACACACTTTGGGCAGATTGATTGGGCATCATTGATTGTGCTCAGTCTAAACAGTGAACATAATAATTATCTCCAGTGACAGACTGTAGCGGCTAGCCTCCAATAGGTAGCTGGCACTAGTCGCTACTGCTTGTTTGACAGGTGCCGCCAGAACCCCTGTTGTGTCATGCTATAGATGCACATGCCCTGTTCTGGGGCATACTGAGGTACTTTGATTTTGTTGACTGCATGTAGACAGCATCCAATAGTAGTACTCGTAGACCTTGGCTCTTGGTAGGTCAACCACCATCGCATGGATCGATCGGTGACTATGCACTTGGAGGTTGGAATAGCCCGCGTTGAACAGATCTTGCCATGGCCCAGGGAGTGAACTCGCTTACTCGACTATCCCGGTTTTAGTTAACCAGCATAAGTGGTGCAATTTGTCCATACCATGTTGCGAGCTCACAGTTGTTTGGGCAGGTTTTGAGCTGCACCACGAAACAAAGCGAAATAACGGCGTGACTGTAGAGCAAGGAAGCGGCGAGACGGCACTTCCAGGACGAGACAGGCAGTAGAGATGTGTTCACAGCACGAGCAACCTCTCAAACCCTGCCGGTACTCCACAGTTACAAGAAAATGTCGGACTGGACGACGCGCCAATGCAAACCTGCTACATCCAACCAGGCAGATAGCTGCCAAACCAGGCCAATGTCGATCCACTGCATACCGGTATGTCAATGTCAAACAGATCCTGCAGGAGAAGACTGGGATGATATTGGCGTCCAGTGTACGGACACCAGTCACATTTCCTGCGTCTTTTGCAGCATACAGGATAGACTCATCACTGTAAAGTCCACTACTTCGTGATTTTTATTTGTAGAATACATGACAGGCGTATTCAGTTTGCCTCGCAGGACTGCGAGATGCTGCAGAAGACCAGGTTCGACCTTTCTGGACCGCCATTCACCGACGGTGGGCTACACGATCCTGGAGGAACTAGATTCCAGTGAAAACCCAAGATTCCTTTGCTCCTGGACGCTCGGACGTGTTGTGATATCTGCCAGGTGCGCAGTAACTAGTATTTTCATGGCTATAGCGAGGACGACGCCGATCGGCAAACTCTCGCTCACAGCCATCACCAGCCTCTCAAAACCATCACTTGGCATCCCCCAGAGGTATAGGAGAAAGCCAAAACAGCTCTCAACAAACAAAAGCTAAGGACGATGGAAAGAGAGCATGTCAAAAAGAAGACGAACAGTATGAAGTTCAAATGGTTTTGAACACTCGTTCCACCAACTATACCACTTTCAATAAATCGTGACGCCATTTTGTTTTAACACGCATACGGTCCACTTTTCACTGCTCGAAAACGACGTATAAAAAATCCGTAGAGCCTCCACGGATTTTGGCACGAAAAATCGTACTCCGGAACCTCCCTAATTATGGGCTTCATTATTTCACTTGGATGCTGCACACATAATAATTATTATAATATACTACACAGCAGGGCCGGCCCTGGGGGTTCATAAACCCTATGAACCCCTGCTAGTACTACATTGTAGTACTAGCAAGAGTCCATAAACCACGCGTTTTATGGACTCTTGGTACTAGACTACACACAGTGTACCGGCAGCCAGCTACGCGACACGCGCAGTTGCATGAATGGACTACGCGTCCTGACAAGCGATCTACGCCGGCTGTGATGGCATGCTAATCTATAATCAGCTCCTATACATGTCGTCAATACTTTTTTGAATTGAAGCCCGGTTTGCGATTTTCGACACGACTCCCTCCCCCCCCCCCCCCCCAAACGTATGCTCTTCGTTTCAGGGGCTTCTGCGAACTTTTGCGATGGTCCCTTATAGAGGTTATGCGATAACGTCAAACCCGCCATATATAGGAGCCAGTTGGGGTGGCAAAATGCCCAAAGCGCGTACAGAAACCCCTTATATAGAAGAATTTGGGGTGGCAAACGTACTACGTGTATCGCATAACCTCTATACATGTACATGTACCATGAAAAGAAAAACAATAATATTCCAGTACATGCGCAATACATTGGAAAACTCCAAGAAATTCCATGTAAAACAGACGAAATTCAGTTCTCAATATGGCCGATGCCTACTCCAGCACCATCCTGCGTTGACATGACAGGCAAGTCAGGCGCCTTCTGAAGTTCTGGACCCGCGTAGCTGGAGGTCGACTGCATGGAACACTGAAAATTGGGTATTGATTCGCAGCCAAACCATTATGATTGAAACTGAGGGCTTGTCCCACTTGAGCCTCTGTTGAGGGCGAGGCGACCAGCAAGTCGCTTCTGATAACCTGCATACATGTATTTCAATTTTCAACTGTTCGTGGTGTAGCCAAGGACTGTGCATGTGTTGCGAGTTGGGTATACTGAGAATATGACAAGGCTACAGTGGAGGTTCAAAGTTCTTTAAAAAACATTTACCATGCAGTTAATGCTATCACGTGACAGTCTTTGATAATGCTCGAAACATTAGCAGATTCTGCTCGAAGAACAGGGAAATTAGCCCCAACCATACACACCTTATGGCAGGCACTTCCTTGAATTCTGCTCCATTTCTTTTTTCACATACCAAACATGCATGAAACATCAGGCGCGTGCCCCGTATGGGTTCCTGGGTGCCCGGAACCCCCCTTTTTTCGCTCAAAATGCAGGATTTTGCTTCATTTTTTGAAAGATTTCCCGGAGGAGGTCCCCCGGAAACCCCCCTTGAAGGGCACCGGCGCACGCGCCTGAACATACCAGAAAAAGTAGAAAATTCTGCAAAATTGTCTGCCGGCAGTATCCGCTGAGGGCATTATCTCCTACCGGCGTGCAACTGCAATCTCCATCGATAATCTCATGCGTACAATTTCTACATCAGTACATGAGTACATGACTACCAGTTTTTATCCTACTGTGCGTGTGTGTGTGCGCGTGTGTGTGGTACATGGTGTGTGTGTGTGTGTGTGTGTGTGTGTGTGTGTGTGTGTGTGTGTGTGTGTGTGTGTGTGTGTGTGTGTCCCATATGGTGCAGTGGTATGTGCAGCGATTTCCAATCGATAGGTTGCGGGTTCGATTCCCGATGATTATGGTCACACACGTCTTTCTTCTCTTTCTCAGACTCCTCCTGACTTTTCTTTCATTCTCCTGGGTGGTTACCAACAGCCAGTGCATGCCGGAGTATGTGGTGTGATGTGTGTGCGTGAAAAAAAATGAAAAAGACCAAAAAGTAGGGATTCACTGGCCAGAAAAGCCACTTCATAGCTGTATGGTGTAGACCAGGCTGAAAAGTGGTGGTCAATTCTTCAGCCTTGCAAGCTGTTGAATGGTGCAATCCCAGCACAAGCTGCTATGGCTTCTGCTGTAGCATCGCTATCATCGCCTCTGGCGATGGGCGTCCAATGGTCCAATGGTGTGTGTGTGTGTGACATCCCCAGCCTGCTGACATCGCGCCGCATGGAGTGGCTTGGGCATGTTGTGCGAATGCATGAGGAGCGTGCCCCGCGTCAACTACTGTTTGGCACCCTACATCCTGTCCGTCCAATGTGCGGCCCGAGGAAAAGGTGGCGCGATGCTGCGCGGAAGGATCTGGCGGCGTTGGGCATCGACGAATGGTATGACTTGGCCCAGGATAGACGGGAATGGCGGGCCGCTTGCAGTGTTCTGCCCCGCCCCAACCCGTTTGTGAGCCCCTGCGGATACCTTGTGCCGAGTGTGGCCGTCTCTTCTCCAGGAGTGGTTTGCCTCGTCATAAATGCCTCGATGAGCGCCGCAAACCTGTATCAGAACAGAGAGGTAGCCGACAATGTTCTTCCTGCGAGCGCTGGTTCCGCAGTGCCGGAGGTTTGGCGGTCCACAAGTGCCCCAACTCCCGGATGCTCCCCGCGACATCGTCTCGGGCTCCGTGCCGGGCGGCGGTGTCTACCATTGCTGCTCAGGCGACTCCTCCGCCGTAGCGTGTGCGGCCCGCTCTCTCATGCTGCAAGGCCCACTGTGGGGCCTGTGGCCGATGCTGCCGCTCTACTCGTGGATTCCAAATCCATAGCTGCCGGAGATGGCTCTCTCGTCGTGCTGATTGAACATGGTTCCTGATCTCTCGGCAGACTGCCGACTTTCTGCCGTCGCGCGTCGTTTTCCATGTTGTCAGCCCCGCGAGGGGACACGTGACCGTAATGGCAGTGTTTATCAGGACCAGGACCAGGTGTGTGCGCGCGCGCTTGAGTGTACTGCATGTGTGTGCGTTGGTTGGTATGCGCGCGCGTGCATGCGTGTGTGTGTGTGTGTGTGTGGTGTGCGTACATGTACAATACATAATGTATACAAAAGAGAAATGACCAAGGAACTACAAGTTACGCTATACTGTCCACTAACACCACCAGTTACTAAACAATCAGCTCATGCGATAACATTGCACGGCACTGCTCGACGTAACCTGTAGTTCCTTGGTCCTTTCTCTTTTGTATAAATTAAGCCTTGGCTCTCCATCCGAGTCCATTCCAATACATAATGTGTTGTAATGCAAAAAGGGAGATTCATATTCATGTACATGTACATGTACATGTACATGAATATGTATTACTAGTACTCAAGTAAAACCTGTCAAGGCGACCACTCGGATAAGGCGACCACCTGTCCTAGAAGACCACTGGAGCCAGGACCAAGGGATGCTTTTACCAGTCAATTGACCCTGGATAAGGAGACCACCTGGTAACAGAGACTACATTGTTCAGGTTCCTTGAGCGGTAGACAGGTTTCACTGTAATTCAATGTGCATGTACACGTCCAAGTGGGGTCGGTCCACTGTAAGATGTAGCCTCTCTTCACTCAGACTCAAACCATGTGAGAAGAGCAGTGAGGGCGATGTGTCAGCAGATGCGGCCCATTAGTGTCATGATTGCTACTTGTTACTGCACAATGCAGTTCCGGTCACGATGGTCACTTGAGTATATACATGTAAACATGTACAGGATTGTATAGATTGTACATAATTATAGTGAATGACCGTTGTTGTCGTTGGATAATCCCTCACCCATCCTAATCGTATCTTGTACGTAACTGGTTCTATACCATGCATCTAGCTAGTGCAAACCATAGCCTAGGTCTCGCGGAGTACTACAAGTACAACTACATTGTACGTACAATCAAGGTTACTGGTCACGTGGTGTGTTATCGCTGGTTAGCCCAGTATCTAATGCTGTTCTTCCACTGCCCCAAAATACGAGAAGAGTGCCTTTAGTAAAGAGCCTCCCGACTACAGACCATGTCGACCTAGTAGTACCTTCCATGACCTACATTCCAGCATGTTATGTCACCATGCAGCGAGGCGAGACGTTCCAGATGTAGGAGCTGCATTGTACTTCTCCTCCAGCACTGCCGCTGCCACTGCGCTCCAAGGCAAGGGATTCTGTTCACAGGCTCCAGCTAGGCTACTGAGCCATCCCCAGGCCCTTCGCCTTGGCGACCGCCATTGCGAGAGCATGCTCACATCACCCAGTGACCTGATGAGTGATGGATCGGACCATCCCGGTGTTTCGCCACTGTCACTAACATCAAGAGACTGAGGACATGATCGTCACCTGGGGATTCTTCGTTTTATTTTCATAGAGAGTTTTACGCCAAATTTGGTGAGATTGCGCATCACGTACAGTACAGCGATCCACCCCGTTGTGGATTGTACAATTATGTAGGTTTAGGCGGCAGCTGCATCATCTTTTGATTGAGCAGTTCTTGGACCAGCGCGGTTGTCGAAGACACAATCGGGTATTGTGGGGTATATTTTAAACGTAGCTGAACTCTGCACCTTTAAGTTTAACTATCAACAAAGCTGTTAACGATACCATTCAGCTGTTCAATAAGGCAACAATCTCTCCTCCTCTACTTACTCCATGCGCTCTCAGCCTACACGTGGCTACCCTGTAACCGGTTACCCCTTCGTTGTTTGCATGTACATGTACATATGTACATTATGTGCCGGTATAATATCCTCTGTCAGATCATACTTTTTCTTTCCAAATTTTCTAATTCCTTTCCTCTCTTTTCTAAATGCGGCTTATCCATTCGCCTTCATGTCATTGGGCCTAGTTCCCGTTTATGGTGCGAATTACAGTAAACCAACCAACCATATTAAAAATATCACCATGGTATTGGTGTGTGTAATGGCTACTGAGGCTAGCCATCTGTTGGCTGAGAGCGTATAGAGCCATTGGAGGGGAAGAAGAGGAGAGATTGTTGCATTATTGAATGCTGCACTGTCAAGTGATTTGCACATGAAATGTTCAGCAGATGACGCCTGTAAGTGTATGCCTGAGCTGAGCAGTGCTGACACAGCAGAACGATGAAGCTTCGATTCTCGAATGACTCAGTACATGTACTCTGCCGGCCTAAGCCAGTAAAGGCTAAACGACGTAACGTCGTTGTATGGTATAATAACGATCTGTGAGTGTGACGCACCAGAACGATGAACGCTGCATGCGGCACTACTCTCGCCGCTTCAATGCAGTTGTATGATATCATCGTAACTGGCAGGTGTGGACCGGGACAGGCTCTTTTAGTTACTTCATTCCCAGGCAGTAATACTAATAGTTGGTGGTCCACTTTTTCCTCCCGGAGCAATGGGCCGCGGGGATATCCAGTACACGTAGTTACGTCTGTTCTAGGATTAGTAAGCAGAACAGTCATAGTGATTGTGCTGCAGTGTTGCGGCACCTGGCCCTCACCCTCTTGGCAACTCCTTGGAAGGCATCAATGCAGTGCTTGACCAACAGAGGTGCGTGCCCGCGCGTGTTGCTACCACGAAGTACATGCACATGTAACTACAACCCATTGTACTGCACTACAGCTGCGCTCCGTGAAATCCGACCGGAAGTGCAAAGCTGCCACCAGCCCTGGACCAGTTTTCGATTATTTTCATTGTGTGCTCACAGCCACACAGTGAGTAGTCGTTCGTGCCACTACCAGGCCTGCAGGGCGAAGTAACATTAGTTGAAGGCGCCAAATACGCACTCTGGGTCAGATTTCACCGAGCGTAACTTTAGTAATAGTAGTGCCCAGTGCACCGGTGACAGACGGTGGTGTGTGGTTGGCGATCGCGAACCAGGCCGGTTTCTGGCAACGAACGGCGGCCGGAGAAGCAAGAGGCCACTACAAAGCTGGGGACCTTTCGCCGAGATCAAGGTCCAAGGAGACCTTACCGTGTACAAAATGTGGAAACCAAGGCTGGCTGGAGTGCAGAATAAAGCATAGTCTTCTACTTACAGTCATGTACATGTAGTACTAAGTCTTGCACAATCATGTTGTGTTTAAGCTAAAAACGTGTTTCTATGGTACACGCCAAGTGGTATCGTGTAGCGTGGGAGAGGTTGATTGCGATACAAGCAGAGCTAGAGACACACTTGATTGCAGCACGTTATCGCCTATCCGGGTGTGGATAGATTGCTCATCTCTCCCCCCCCCCCCCCCCCCCCCCCCCTGCATGCTGCAATGACTGTAGTAGTTGACTGCACACAGCAAACATTCGGAGCCGCGCCGCTAGGAGTCGAAGGCAGAATTGATAAAAAGGCAAGATGGCGATTGATGACGTAGACGTAACATCAATGGTTGAATGCAGGTATCAAACGAAGTTCTCGAGAGTGAACAAACTCCAATCAATGGCAATCATCTCAAATCCTCTCATGCATCCGCCTACCGGTAGTAACCGGTGGCGACCAGTCGCTGAATACTATATCAATCCATGCAAGATGGTACATACGAACAAGATACCCACAGACACCCACACTTACACATCCAGCAACATGCAGCATCAGGGGCACAATAAATGCCAAGACGCTGTAAGAGGCAGGACTACTTGGGTATAACATTAAATTTTATGACCTGATTGTATTTGCCAGTATACAATGTAGTATCGAGAGCAAGGCGCACCAGCAACAAGGATACCGGTATTAAAAACTGGACTACTGTAACTAAAATAATGGTTGTCCAGTGCCGGTGAAACTGATCTTTGGGCCACACGAATTGACAACGAATGGGCTGTTGACTTTGTTGAGCAGTCGTTCCCGTCTGTCGCCTTCCACGAAGATTTACCAAGGTATAAGCAGTGCTTCTGATTCTAAGTTTGGAACACCGTTCGGTTGAAGTGATCGTGCTACTTCCGTCCCTTCTTCAAACGTAGTCGAAACCGTTTGTTGATCTCAAGGCGCTGCATTCCGTGTATGCCCGGCATTATGAAGGATGCACACAATGTCGACTCATGAAAGCCCCGATAGACTGTCACCCTTCAGATGTGCACAAACCTACATTGTACATGACTTGATTGTACACATGTATGTCGTTATGTTAACCGACTGTGGATTAAAATGGGCAGAATTGCCTTCGTGAACTGCCGGCAGTTTGCATAAGAGAGCCATTTCCTCACGCTGTCTGTTGTTCATCAAGGTAAGCAGCACTGAAGAACAATACCCCCCCCCCCCCCCACACACACACATTTGGATCTCAAGGGCATTCATACACATGGGCACATGTACATGTACATGATTGTGTTCTGTGTTAGAATTCTAGCTATGTCAGTATGTATGCATGCATGCAGTAGGCCTTTGCGGATAATGCCGGCAGAAAAATTGGCAGAATTCGGTACTTTTCTGGTAAGTTTCATGCATGTTTGGTATGTGGATAAAGAAATGGAGCAGAATTCGAAGAATTACCCGCCATAAGGTCTGTATGATTCTGCCAATTTCACTGCTTTTCGAGCAGAATCTGACAAAGCCTAGCATGCAGCGATCGCCTAAGAGTCTGTTTGCAACGTAGTGGGGGTGAGACATCCTGAGGATTCATGTGTAACTCAAAGAGAATTGGTGAGCACACATGCTCTTTCCCTGGGCACTGCAAATTCACAACTCATTTCACGGAATCATTTTCGACGTTTCGGCAAATTGCCAGCATCAGGATGCAGCAATCATGCAATCAGAATGCAATGTTTGTGACATGTCCAGGTTTGGATTCTGCAGCAGTACCGGTACATGCACGATGCAGGTGTTGCTCCTTGGGAAAGTATTCGATTACTTGTAGTTAGTTATTTCTTCTCCTTGGCATACACTGTAGCTCCTTCTCCTTGACAGCAGCACGTCGATTTCTGACACCTGCTGACATCGCAAGCCAGGCCTAGCCTGGTTTAGGGCGGG